GAAAGCAACTTATGGGGAAGATGCCCCATCATATGACGTTGTTAAACACTGGCATCGCCAGTTCAAGTGTGGTCGGGCATCTGTGGAAACAGCTGCCATTCCTGGTCGCCCCCATTCAGCCATTGATGAGGACACTATCCATCAAGTGGAGACCGCCATTTTGGCAGACCGACGTATAACTGTTCGCCAGTTAGCACAAGATGTCAAGATCAGTGTAGGGTCTGTGGAAAAAATCATCCATGACAACTTGAACATGCATAAGGTGTCTGCATGATGGATTCCCAGGTTGCTCACAACTTTCCAAAAGCAGGAACAAGTCAATTGCTCAAAGGAGCTTTTGGACATGTGCCCAAAAAGACCAGGCAAACCTTTTTGACAGACTTATCACACAGGATGAAACATGGGTCCATCACTATGATCCTGAGACTAAAGTTCTGTCGATGCAATGGAAGCATGTGGAGTCACCCCCCCCCCCAAAGAAGGCATGTGTCCAACCCTCTGCAGGCAAGGTCATGCTCACGGTGTTTTAGGACCAGCACGGAGTAGTGATGATGGATTTCTTGGCAAAGGGTACCACAATTACAGGAGCTTATTATGCTTCACTGCTGCGGAAATTGCGGGACGCTATCAAGCTTAAGAGGCGTGGCATGCTGACCAAGGGTGTCCGTCTCCTACAAGACAATGTTCCAGTACACAACTCTCATGTTGCCTAGACAGAAGCGCGGTCCTGTGGCTATTAAATCCTTCCACATCCTCTTTACTCTCCTGACCTTGCACCATCTGACTTCCACCTCTTTCCAACCATGAAGTCTTTTTTGAAGGGAAAACGTTTCACAGATGATGAAAGACTGATTTCTGAAGTCAAGTCCTGGTTTGAGACGCAAAATGAGGGCTTTTACAAGCGAGGTCTCCATAGCTGCATAAAATGATGGGAGAAGTGTGTCACTCTTGGTGGTTCCTATGTGGAGAAAGACTAATACCTATGCCAAGTTTAATTCCACTAGGTCAATCGGAAGTGGGACAGGGGAAATCTTTAATGAACACCCCTCGTATGTACCAGAATATCAAATCATGTGTTTCCTGTAATGGTAATTTAACAGGTTTCTTTTCATGTAAATCTGGAGTAAGACAAGGAGAAAACCTGTCGCCTGTCTTGTTTGCAATATTTTTAAATGACCTCGAGGCATCTCTTGTACAGGATTTATGTAAAGGTGTCCAATTGAAACCAGATGAATTCTATGATCGAATAGAAAATATTGTCACACTATTTGTATTACTGTACGCAGATGATGCAGTGCTATTGGCCACAAAAGCTTATGATCTAAAACATACGTTAGACTCATTTCATAATTATTGTATACACTTGAGACTTAAGGTTAATACTACCAAAACTAAAATATTAATATTTTGCTGATCAAAAACTGATTATAAACATAATTTCAAAATTGGTCATGATGTTTTGGATAAAGTTGATTCCTATAACTACCTTGGTGTCGTCTTTCAAAAAAATTGAAATTCACTTTTACAAAGAAAAAACTAATAGAACAAGCAACGAAAGCTATGTTCTATGTTTTATGCCAAGGACGGAAGTTAAATTTGTCACTTAAATGTCAAGTCGGTCTTTTGACAGTATGGTTGTACCAGTTCTTCTCCAAGGATGCGAAGTATGGGGATTTGAAAACATCCCAGCTCTAGAAAGTTTACATTTGCGTTCCCTAAAATATCTTTTATCATTAAGAAAATGTACTTCAAATTCCATGGTACATGGGGAACTTGGAAGACTTCATCTGTCAAACATCATCAAAATGAGAATGATAAGTTTTTGGGCAAAATTACTTTCAGGGAAATCATCTAAATTATCCTTTCTTGTATACAAGTTGTAAAGTAAGACCCGACACGCATTTTCCTGCAGTAGGTTTAAATAATATTCAAAATCTAGGCAATCATTTTTGATGATACAATACATTGTGCCTTTTGAAGACTTATCCCTTGCACTTGTCCAACACTGTAGGTTAATGTCATTTATTTTTTCATGGGCTAGATGTTTTAGGTATGAGGTTTTTTTAAAACTTTGTGAAGACGAAATGTAGCAAAAAGTCCAAGTTCATCAAAAGTTCGTTTGATATATGTAATCCATTTATGTTTCTATTTTCCAAATAGGTCATCATTTAGTTTAGAACTTGTAATCATGATGTACCTATTGAAACTGGGAGATGGAGAAAAATACCTTTAACCGAAAGGAAATACCAACTTTGCAAATTATCTGAAATAGGTGATGAATTTCATTATTTGTTTATTTGTCGATCTTTAGAAAACGAAAGAAACATTTTTTACACAGATTCTACTACATTAAACTCAATATGCATTATGCACAAAATGAATTTACTTTTCAATAATTCACGACTAGGAACATTGAGAAAACTTCCAAATTCTGTAAAATCATCATGTCATTGTTTAAACCTATCAAGTAACTCTCCCTCTTTTTAAATTGCACATATATTGCTACTATAGTAAATGTATAAATATGCATGCATGCTCGGCCAAGCTGTTTTTGTATATATTCTATATTCTATATTTATATGTATATGTATTTTGTTGTTGAAATAATTTTGTACCTCTGATGCCACTGATAGCGGCCTGAGCGTAAATAAAGTTCAGTTCAGTTCAGCAGTTTTCTTTGCAAGAAACTTGGGAGCAGTTTTTGCACTTGGGTGGCTGGTTGCATGATGTTTTTGTTTGTCCATAGAGCATACAGTTTGTGCATTGGGTTGGCCATGTCCTGTATGGCATAGTTTCTATGTCCTTACCACCTAGATTAAGGTGGTCGGGGACTGACTGGCCAAGTAATGTGAGTATAACTACTCGTGTGTTGGTTGTGCCCATTGATTTGATCCTGAACGCCGACAGGAATGTAGGTTGAGTGACTTTCTTTTGGGCTTGACAGACAGTCATCATTAATTTTTTTGTCCAGATGTACTGTGCATCTGACATTGCTAAGGTGTTTTGGGGTATCCCATTTTAGTTTGATCCTGTTTATGCTTGTGGGCATGTCAACTGACTCTGTGAGGTTGTTCCCGACAACAACATGCCCTCTTCCACACTTATTTATTCTAGAATATTTTTGTGCTACAGATGTTTACAGGGATCATTCTAGAATCGATCCTATATAATTAATTCCAAGCTTTAATTAGGATTTGACTTCATGCTGACTTAAATCGCAGTTTGACAGCTCTCATTGGTCTGGCCCCAATGTCATTCATTCTGGGTCACATGACTTTCGGAATGTATTGTTTACATTACATGGATCAAGTTCCGGTTGCAGCCAAGTTTGTACACTTTCAAGTTTCAAAGTTTATTGTACAGTTTAATTGTTTTAACAGTTCAGATATATCAATCTAGGGAGAGATACAGACAAGTACCTGATGCTAGAGCCACAATGTGACAGACAATGCTGTGAGCGACTGATGTTTCCAGTGCAGTTCAAAGTCCGGTATCTCTTCTCGCAATCTCGAGACCATGTTCAAGATTTTTCAGTTCATTGAATAATTAATAAACTCGTTATTGAACTTTACCTACTCATTGTGTGATCCTTCTGCATTTCGCTAGTTTCGACATTCTTAACTTTGTAGATCCTTGTGATATATTTTCGCTAAACCTCTTCTCCAAGCTCTGGTATTTATTTGTCACATTTTGTGACTGGTGGCAGCATCAATTTATTTTAGTTATTTGTCCACAAGTAAATCTCGACCAGTCTTTGGCCGTTCCGTTACAGTATTAAGCTCTTGGGAGAAGTCTGTGCTAAAGACTAATTTTTCCCATTTGGTTTGTGATCTTCTATGTTGTTGTGTCTTCGACTCTGATGAGACCATTCTTTGTCTTTGCCTTGGGTGGGCTAGATTGTGGCTGTTTGCGTTTAAGCATGCTTTGAGCCCATGGGGCACTATAATCAGTATTTTCTTTGTTTTTAGTTCCTGAGAACGTGCATCTGTCCTGAAAACGGTCAGGGACATTTGGCGTGGCTTGACTATAAGTCATGATGGCTGTTTTTTTGGCAGTTTTTCTGGTGACCAGAGTAAAGGGATTCCCTTCATTTGGGTTGGGCTGACCCTTTCTGGAACTGGGCTGGTTCTCTTGCGAGTTGGGCGGACTCTCAACAATTGTAATTTCTGGACATAAGTCCGCCATCTCCATTTCCAAATTCATATTTGTCAGGCCCAGGGGCCTGGGTGATTGACAACCGTGCAGTTTAAGCTGGTGAGCGAACCGAGCTTGGTTGGCACGGAGGGTTTTGTACAGTTCGTAATGCAGGATAAGTAAAAAAATATTTATACCCATCCATGGTCACTCAAATACTCAACCATTCTATAATCCCTTAAATCCTCTCCACTGCTTCTCCCGGTCTATGAAAAGAAGCAATTGGTATGAATTTTGATGAGACATTGGGAGTAATTTAAACGCCAATTAACTAAGTTTTAACAAGCTAGGCTTATTTTTGCTTCTCATTCAGGGTGTTTATTTAACAATCCCTTATACTCACCATCTCCAACAGTTGTTAATACAACTGTAAAAACAATGGGAATTGATTACAGCTGCACCAGTTAGTTATCACGTGTTAGATCACATGTAGCAGGGGTGATTGTTTTACCTAGTCAGCTGGCTTGACAATTTGGATCGAGGTGAGGTTATTTCAACTATATTTGCAGAAAATATACAGTATGAACCAGATATAAATGGTGTTTATGTATGAAAATAGTTCTTAGAACAGTTATTTCGGACAAAATGTCAAGTGCCGGGCTGGCTATCAAATGCCAGTTGACATCACCAGTGGAACCTGAAAGTGAAACTGGAAAAAATAGTGAGATCTTCAACCCCATGTATAAGACGGCCCCCCTTCATAACCCCCTCATTCTAGGTACGAAAAAACTTGCCTTATACACAGCAATATAAAGTACTTGTTTCGCACAATCTTCAGTCTCTCCCTCTCCTGTATGTGGACTTACTTGTTTTGCACAGTCGTCTGTACCCTCCTTTCCTCCTCCAGCCTTTGTTCTTTGTCTGCCTCAAGCTTCTGCAGCAGCACCTCTGTCTGGCAAATGTCCCATGCTGCTAGGAACTGACACACAGCATCAACTGATGCAACCTGTAACATGCGCATTTTCAGATAATGTACCAATGAAACAAAACATCAGCCTGGTGTACCCATGTCACTAAACATCAGCCTTGTGTACCCATGCCACATAACATCAGCCTGGTGTACCCATGCCAAATAACATCAGCCTGTTGTATGCATGTCACATAACATCAGCCTGGTGTACCCATATCACATAACATCAGCCTGGTGTACCCATATCACATAACATCAGCCTGGTGTACCCATGTCACATAACATCAGCCTGGTGTACACATGCCACATAACATCAGCCTGGTGTACCCATGCCAAATAACATCAGCCTGTTGTATGCATGTCACATAACATCAGCCTGGTGTACCCATGTCACATAACATCAGCCTTGTGTACCCATGCCACATAACATCAGCCTGGTGTACCCATGCCACATAACATCAGCCTGGTGTACCCATGCCACATAACATCAGCCTGGTGTACCCATGTCACATAACATCAGCCTGTTGTACCCATGTCACATAACATCAGCCTGTTGTACCCATGCCACATAACATCAGCCTTGTGTTCCCATATCACATAACATCAGCCTGGTGTACCCATGCCACATAACATCAGCCTGGTGTACCCATGTCACATAACATTCGCCTGTTGTATGCATGTCACATAACATCAGCCTGTTGTATGCATGTCACATAACATCAGCCTTGTGTACCCATACCACATAACATCAGCCTGGTGTACCCATGCCACATAACATCAGCCTGGTGTACCCATGCCACATAACAACAGGCTGGTGTACCCATGCCACATAACATCAGCCTGGTGTACCCATGCAAAATAACATCAGCCTGTTGTACCCGTGTCACATAACATCAGCCTGTTGTACGCATGTCACATAACATCAGCCTTGTGTACCCATGCCACATAACATCAGCTTGGTGTACCCATGTCACATATCCTGGTGTACCCATGCCACATAACATCAGCCTTGTGTACCCATATCACATAACATCAGCCTGGTGTACCCATGTCCTATAACACTGGGCAGGTCTACCCATAAATAACATCAGCCTAGTGTACCATGTCACCTAACATCAGTCTGGTGTACCCATGTCCTATAACACTGGGCAGGTGTACCCATGCCACATAACATCAATCTGGAGTGCCCATGTCACTTAACATCAGCTTGGTTTACCTATGTTACATAACATCAGCCTGGTGTGCCCATGCAACATAACATAGATGATGTACATATGTTGCATAACATCAGTTGGTGTACACATGTAATATGTTATTGTTGTGACATAATATATATAACCTGATACATATATAATATAACATAGGCTGGTATACTCATGCAACGTAGCATCAGCTGGTGTGTCCATGTAAGTGAGTTGTGAGTTAACATTTAACATTGCATTGGCATCATTTCAGCCAAATAGCAATGTATACCATTTAACTTGTATACACTTTTAGCATAAGATCAGGCTGGTGTAGACATGTAATATAACATAAGCTGGTGTAATCTTAATAAAATCGAAATATTTTTTATATTTTGTATCCTTATGGTGCATTATTCCTTAATGCATTTACTGCTTTCTTTTGCCAGAAAAACAAACCTGTGTGGGGTCCATCTGAAAAAAAAGTTGTTCCAATGAGTTGTGAGGCAGACTCCATCTCACAGCTTCCAAGTAACCACTGAAGTGATGATGTCACAGATACTTCACATTACTGCTTGACTTGTAACATCTGAAGACATCGTGGGAAGGCAGCTCTGCGACAGGTGGGCCCTTAGACTTAGTAATGCAGGATAATCATAAATGTGAAAAATATATTTTATTTTACTAAATTATAATCTTTCATATTCCTTGATGCATCTGAATCAGAGACTAAGGCGGAGACCCGCAAGAAAGTCCAACACATCAATTGAGAAGAATGGTAGCTACTTGACCAATCCTATCCGTGGACAGAATATGAGTATGAGGATGTCCAGGTAAAATGCAGCAATAGAAAATAACATGCTCTTGAGTCTACAGACTGACTTACGGAGCCAAGGCTTGGCAGCATAGGAATCCTCCGACTGGGCGTGTGAAAACTGAGTTCGGTAAGGTCGGCTCTGGACAGGTGGAGATGTTATTGGCATCTAGGTTTGGTGACCTACTTGGGGACAACCAGAGGGCCAAAACTGTGAACACCTTTGATGTCTTCCAAGACACGTCTCTCAGGTAGTGGCTTGCAAAGACCATGTCAGATCTATAAAAGCATCCTTCAATGATGCAGTTGCAGTTGCTATGGAGAGCCATTGTCGAGGTGACCGCCTGGATCTCATGAAGTTTGTTGGCCACGGGTTATGTCGAGATCATGAAGATCGCTAACCCTTGCTGCCATAGCCAGTGCCATGTGGAAGATCATCTTCTAGGAAAAGTTGTAGAAGGAAGCTGCATGGAGAGGCTCAAATGTGGGGCAATGCAGAAAATGAAGAACCAAGTTCAGATCCCATGCGGGAGGAGGAAAGTTGGCCTTCTCACCCCCAGGCTGAAGAAGCGAAGGAGGGCCTGCAGTTAAAGAACCTTGGTGTTTTTCCTGTCCTCTGAAACTGCCAAAACCGAATTAATGACCCTGTGACAGGTCATGATGGTGCTACCCTTCAGGTGTCACTTACTACACAGATACAATAGGTATCTGGCCAAGAATTGAGGAGATGCTACAGTGGGGTCTTCATGTTTTCCATGCAAAAGAATTCAAAATAGCACCACTTATCATCATAAAGGCCCTGGATGGAAGGTCTGTGTGCCATGGCAATGGTTTTCACTACCCTCACCATATAACCGTTAGCCCCTAAAGCCTTTTTGAAATGCACCAAGCATGCAGATGAAACCAGCATGACATTGGGTACGGCAACCGACTGTGCAAATGGATTAGAATGTTTGTCCACCCTGGTAGTTCTAATGGATTGTTTTCCACAAGATTTCGAACATCCAAGAACTACCTACCCTCTTGCCAGCCACCAAGATGTGATCAAAATCAGAGCGAGGCTCTTAGTTGCCCTGATCTTCTGCATCGTCTTGGTAAGAAGAACAGGTGGCGGAAAAGCGTTTGCTCTTAGTCCTTCCCAAGGGATCCTCAGCGTGTTAACTGCCCATGCCTGCAGATCTGGAAACAGAGAGATATATGTCTGGAGCTGACAGTTCTGGTGGTAAAGATGTCAATGTTTGGATGACCATATCACTGACATATGAGATGTAAGGCCTAGGGATGTTGTTTCCACTTTGTGGGTGCCACCTTGTCTGGCCTGGATAGAGTGTCTGCTAAGATGCTCTGACATCCTGAAGACAATCATCTATGTTATCTATGATTCAAAACAAATGTTCCTCAGGTGGAGGTAGAAGGCCACTTCCTTGGTGATGTGGGTAAATAGCCACGGGGCCCCTGAAATGCCACATGGGAGGACCACCCATTGGTAGTGGACACCATTGAATTGGAACCTGATGAATTTCTGATCACTTGAGTGGATAGGGACATGCAGATACACATCCTGCCGGTCGAGACTGATTAGGATTCGTTGTTATTGATTCTAGTCCTGAGCAGTCTCAAGGTTGTTATGAATTATGGAGGACGTTCTACATAACACTCATTGAATATGGCAAGATTGTATATCATCCTCATCTTGTCCAAGTCCTTCTTTTAGACAAGGCAGAATGGAGATTAAAACACATCTGTGACTTCATTCCATTGTTTGAACGCTCCATTATTTTTCAGGAATGGAGATTTGCTTGTCAACTGTACATTATCTTGAAGCAACATTTGAATTAATTTCCACTTGGAACAGACGGAACTATTTTTTTACATTTATTTACAAGTGAATATTTTCATTTTTTTCGAAAACACGTGTCACCAGCGCGGTTCGAACCCGCATCGTTAGATTTGAAAACGTGTAATTGTCAACCTCAGCTACTGCGGCACATGAAGGCATGATGTGAAATTAACTATTAAATATTTTCATAATTTTGCATAATGCTTAAAAGCTCAAAATAATATGTATATATTTTGTGTTAGAGCAGGTAACACAACAATGTTTATATTTATAGCAGTTAGATAAACCTTTGACGAGAAAAAACAAATAAGGTAACATAAATATCGCTTGTTCGGGGCTTTATATTTCCAATTATACCCATCAGCATGTATTAACAATGTGCAAGCGATTGATCAATACTAGTTTAGGACCCAACAAAATTATGAAGAGCCGTGTACCTCGCATTGTAAATGTCAACTCGCCACAGAGCTTGACGCACGTGCAACAGCGGCAGAGGACGCATTCCTCGTGCATCACGCAAGGTCGACTCACGCAGTATAAATACAGACAACAAAGAGTTCTGGTTTATTTTTCAAATATTTTCAACTACAGAATATTTTGTCAAAGTGTAAAAGTAGGGATGAGTTTTAAGTAGGGGAATATCCTCATAACTCTCCATTCCTTAAAAATAATGGGCCTCGGCCCCTGCGGGGCCTCTGCTCCATTATTTTTAAGGAATGGAGAGTTACTCGGACATTCCCCTCTACGTAAAAGCCTGGTGTTATGGCTGGGGCATTCAGAATCTCTATGGTTTTCTTGTTCAACAACATATCGATCTTGGCCACCAGAAGTGGATATAGCTTTCTGGGGTGGATGTGGTGGAGCAGTGGTCAAAGGTGGGTCCAATGCCAGAGCAAGGTGTACCTTTAGCGCAAGATGTTTAAGACAGATGGGTCTTCTAAGGTTCCCCAATTCTGCCAGAAGAGACCTAGTCTTCCACCTACTGGTGTGTCAACAACTTGGACAACTGGGGGTGGGAGGACTGTTCATTACTTCCCCTTCCTGTCCCAACCCCTGCCTTGAAACTTGCCATGCTGTGATTGTTTCCCGTTTCCACGTCCTCTCTCTCGGAAAAGAAGACTGGTCTGAAGCCTGGTCATTCAATGAAGAGTGCCAAGTACGGTAGTTGCGAATCCTAGAAGAACGTTGAGTTAGGTGCTGGGAGACATGTTCAAGTGCTTTGAAGGCCGTCTCGTCTCACACATAACTAGAGACACGGAAGTGTGTGTCCAACATCTGGCCATTAAAGAGCAAAGTTGCAGACAATGGCTGATGCAGGAGTCCATGCTTGAATTCCGAGTCCCATTTGGTGAGGGTAAGGTATCCAAGACATAATTTAATGGCAGCAAGGGCAGATTTAAGGTGATTTCTCAGGTTTAAGGTCAAACTGCAGCTGCCAGTAATAGACGACTGTCTGGAGATGATCCACTCGATGAAATCCTGGTCTATGGCAAGAGATAAGGAAGCCAGCCTAATTTCTGTCTCGATGAATGGCAATCATGAATCAAGGATCTTGCGTGTAGTTGATTTCAAAAACCCTGTCATCCAATGAAGGTCATCATCCAAGACATGTGCAAGGTCTGCCACCTCAAAAACATGGATGTCTTCACTCTTCAACCTGGGCCTTGAAGGCTGGAGAGAGTGAGAGCCAAGCAAAGTCCTCATCCAGCACTGTGACATATCCTTTAGGTTGGGAAGAATTGAGGTGGGCTGGAACCATACGTCGTTCTTGTCAAGTCACACACCTGGCAGTCAGCCATCCAGTTAGGCATCTGAGATTCCAAATTGTGTATCCCTCTCTGGTGACATCTTATAGGCAAAAACAATCCCTCTGAAGAATTAGGGAGAATTAGGGAGGTAATGCTGTGAGTGCCGGTCAGGTGAGCAGCTCCAGGAACGGCGCTTAGATCATGATGACTTTCAAGACCGCGTTGAGGAGGCTCTGGGTTACGCTGAACCATGGGAAGACAGGACCCTAGAAGAAGAAAGATCACCAATGATCACTGAAGGTACAGTAGACACTAAAAGCTCAGGTTACGTGAGAAGAGCTGGAGCCGCTGGCCTTGAAGGAGGCACTGAAGATGCATAAGGCACTGTCTGGTATGCAGGAGCTGGTGCAGGCAACAGGTTAGGCGCATAGGTCATGTGGAACATTGATTGCATAAAACTATGCATCCATAAACTAGGATCCATGGAAGGCACAGTCATCAGCAGCAGGGTGTCAATGGATGATAGGAGATAATTCACATATATTTTAATACCATGAAAGAACCAACATGAATTTGCTGACCAAATTTATTGTCTGGTGACAAGCAGTAATGTCAAGCATCCATTACGTCATCACTTCGTGGTCATGTGGGAGCTGTGCGATGAGGTCTGCATCATATCTGGTTGGAACAACTTTTTCTTCAGCTGGACTTCAGACAGCAACGTTTTTTCTATCAAAAGAAAGCAGTAAAATTTGTAGCATAAGATCAACTGGTGTACCAACGTAATATAACATCATGCTGGTGTACCCATGTTATATAACATAAGCTGGTGTGCTCATCTTCCTTGACATAAGCCTGTAAATTCTGACTGTAGTATATACGTTTGAGGAAAAATGTATAATCAGGGAATATGTATAATACCTGAATTTTTCATGGAATATACTTAATGTCTGATTCACTCAGGGAATATACATAATCCCTAAAATTTCTATGTATCATACATATTCCCTGATTTAACATCAAGTTTTTTAGACATATTCCCTGAATTTAGTTTTGAGGCTCTTATATGGTAAAACTTAATAAAAAAAAAAAAATTATTTATGAGAAGACAAATTTAGTTGACATGATAACAAATACCTTTCATTTAACAATTAGTCTTCACTGTAATCAAAACAATGCTACATCAAACATAGGATATACACTTAACAAACAAGAATAATTTAGTTTTTGTTGACACATGTCAGACTTGAGTGGCACCTTGAGTTACAAAGCAGCTTAGCCTTGAAACATCTACATCTGCTGGTCTGACATTTCTTTGTACCAGCACAGTTACACTGGGTGAAACCTTGCCCTCCACATTTGGATTCAAACTGCACAACCCGGCGAAGTGAAATCTTCTTGTCAGTGACAATGTCTTCAGTTGAGTACAATGCTGTAGCACAAACATCAAACTAGTTACGAGAGAAGTTCCCATTCAGTATGCCACCTTTCACAGCTATTGTGTACAAGTCATTGTCACTGCTTTCAATCACAATACCTATGATATTTTTAGGATCGGAGCAGCCACGATCAACATGGGAAATTGGGACAGTAACATTGTCGCCAATCTGCATTGACGACAGAACACGTTTACTGCGCTTCACCATTCGTTCAGCTTGCTGCATCTGTGTTTCGTTTGCTTGCTTTCGCTTCAATGTGATGGCTTCGTGACGTGATTTGATCAGGGAATCAGGGAATCAGGAGTGTTCACAGATTCTTCTAGGTCAGAAGGCAACAGATTTACCAACTGGGGGGCTTTCACTTGATTCAACAGATGAGACACTGATTTCAGGGGGTGGTTTTGTTGGCTCACTTAAACCTTGAGATGGCTCACTTGGCATGGTGAAAAGTGAAAGGTATTTGTTATCATGTCAAATAAATTTGTCTACTCGATTTTTAAAAATCAAGTTTGACCATATGAGAGCCTCAAAAGTAATTTCAGGGAATTTGCCTAACAAACTTGATGTTAAAACTGGGAATATGTATAATACCTGAGAAATTTAGGGATTATGTATATTCCCTGAGTGAATCAGACATTAAATATATTCCCTAAATTTCAGGGAATACACATATTCCCTGATTATACATATTTCCTGTAACAAATATATACTGAACAGCATTGAAAACGCATCACCATTAAATTGGATGTATTTTTATCCGTGCTTAAGTCATATGAAAATATATAAGTAAATGAGTAATATACGACGTTCTGGACGAAGCATGAAGAAGAACAGCACGTCAAAACACATTCCTAAATTTTTGTGAGCGACATTGCCAAAACGCAACAAATTGCGTGCACATCATGGAAAACGTGTTTTGTTTCACGGGAAGCATGCAGAATAGGGCTATAAAAGACAGACTTTTAAAAGCCACATCACTTGTTGCTGCAGACGTAAAGGGTACTGACACAAGAAATGCCAAGATTAACAGCAGAGGAACGTGAACGTGCCTTGGGAATGCTTCAAGTTGGTAAGTCAAGTAGAGTCGTTGCACAACGGTTTCAATGCCATCATTCAACAGTCCTCAGGCTACTGAGCAGATACCAGCAGACAAGAACCACCAGAGATCAACCACGTCCGGGTCAACGTCGTGTAACTACACCACGTCAGGATCGCAATATTGTTCGTCTGCATCTTCGTGATCGTACACTTCTGGCTACCAGGACTGCAGCAAGCGTACAAGGCCGACGGGGTTTGATCAGCGCTGACACCGTACGTCGACGTCTCCGCTCAGCAGGGCTACGTGCTTGACGTCCATATGTTGGACCCATACTCACTGATTGACATCGAAATGAACGTCTGCGTTGGGCCAAAAGGCATCGTCATTGGAGATTGCGGCAGTGGCATGGTGTGCTGTTCTCTGATGAGTCCCGTTTTCATTTACGGAATGCTGACGGTCGACGTGGAGAACGTTACCACAATGAGTGCGTTGTACAGACAGATTGATGGGGGGGGAGGGAGTGTCATGGTGTGGGGCGGCATCAGTCATAACCATCGAACAGAGCTCCATGTTTGTCGTGGAAGAGTTAATGCCCTTTACTGCAGGAATAACATATTGGCAAATCACGTCATCCCATTCTTTCATCAGCACCAGGATATGCACACCTTCCAGCAAGATAATGCAAGAGCGCACACAGCACGTGTTTTAACACAGTACCTAGCGAACAATAATGTGCCTCTGCTTCCATGGCCAGCCCTGTCACCCGATCTATCGCCAATTGAACATCTATGGGATTACCTGGGTCAATGCCTCTCACGTCGTTCGCAAGTACAGAACCTGAGAGAACTTGAAGATACACTATGTCAAGAGTGGAATGCCCAAGAACACTACTCGCAGACTTATTTGATCAATGAGGAGACGTTGCATGGCCTGTGTTGCTGCCAATGACGGACATACCAGATATTGACTTTTCATTTTAACCCTATGTGTCTTCCTTACACTGATGACGTAAATGTAATTACTGTGTGTTATTCCTGTTTCCTTTGTCATCTTTCTTAATAATCCATCTATGTCTGTTCTAATTAAAATCGGTCATTGCTCAAGTTGTTTTTGTAATATTTCAAGATTTATTGCTGATGCGTTTTCAATGCTGTTCAGTATATATATAACCTGATATCATTTCAAGGAGAGGTGAGGAGAAATGGGGTTTAGCATCTCGTTCCAGCATTACTGAATGACAACCCCATCCAGACTCTGATGCGACCAGTCCTTGTTTTGGTCCCTCAATGCCGCATGTCAGGCAGGGTAACATCACTTGGCATCTTTTAAATTTTTTTGTATTCTGTGGCCAGGGAACACACTCACAACCTTCCGCTCTCCAGAGGCAGAGGCAGTTGATATCATTAGACAGACAAGTGTTATCTGATGAACCTGTATAGAACATGGAGCACTTTCACCAAGAACTTATGGACACACCTGTTCTGGTGTTTGACCATCAGCAGCATATATCCGAGGATCAGCTCCATGCTGCATCAGCACCTGCAAAAAATTCCCTAATTCACAATGAATTTGTAAAATATTTCAGGGGATTCAATTCATAATAATCACCTTAAAGAGCTAATCTGGCACCTGATTTGAATATTTATAGAAAAGTACTTCTTTCTTAATAATTGTCGACAGACATTTTGAAAAAAATTATGCATACTGTTATGTGGCAATAGAGATTGATGTGGGTTTATTTCTAGTGATGTTCAGTGGCAGCAAATGACTGTGGGGCACATAAAATATGAGAACACAGACACAGGCAGATGATGATAATGTGTTTATTATAATGGGGGTGGCTGCTGTTGAAGAACTATCTGAAGAAAAGAAAATGTCCTTCCTCCTCAACAGCAGCACATGAAGTCATATATTTGCAAGATTACAGGTATTATTCATCTTAAATATATAAGTACAAAAGACATTTTATAACTATGATAAAACTAACTTTAATGTTTATAGGACACTTGAAAAGCACATGGGCCAAAATGGACCATGTGGTTAATTATTTTACAAACAAGTTTTATAATATTAATATTCCATTTACTAATTTAATATTATTCTAAATGATATTATATATATTATTCAATTTAATTCAGCACCCTAATATAGATATTAATTTCTGACAGAAGAAGATGAAAACAGATTGAAATATCATGGTATAACATTTATACTAAGTTTTCCTATAATAATTAGATCCACATCAAGTGCTTTTATGACTTATCATGGTGTAATATTTATACATCATTTCATATAATTATAAATTAGCAAGTAATACTTATCAGGTAAAATGCATATATAAAATATCAGTAGTTTCAGTTATAGCTTTTTAGATAGATGCTCGCCTAAGGTAATGGGAGCGCATCTAGACATACTATTCAATAAGACAAGAGTTACGTCTACATAGTTTAATAGATTTGAAGCATTTAAATAAATGCTAGCCTAAGGTATCAAGATCCCAGACAAAAGATATGTCTACATAGTCTTATAGATTACCTTGAACTATTTTATTTAGGTAAATCTGTCATCACCTATATTAGAATAACATTCAGCAATTTAGACTCATTAAGGATTAGCCCCCATACAAGCTCGTCTATAGTGCATTAAGGATTAGCCCCCATACAAGCTTGTTTATAGTGCATTAAGGATTAGCCCCAACACAAACTCGTCTATAGTGACACCATAATCTCTTTCCAAAGCATCCAGTAAATATGTCAACAAGATTAGTGCCAGTCCAACAGGATTAACAGGATTAAGTATTCCTCTCTGTCTAAGCCATCCATTTAGCATAGGGCACAACCAATCGTGTATCAACCAATCCTATTCCTTTTTATTGTTCAAATTTTTGTTAAATACATACTGTAGCTAAGTTTGAGCAGAGAAGGGGTTTGACTCTCTCACCAAGCAGACCTCTCTCCCACAGCCCAGAGTGTTGTACCGACTCTCTGTGGCACCCTCAGTTATTTTCTAAGTATATTGTAAATTGTTAATTGTTCTTGAAAATAAAATTGTGATTAGTCTCCTGTGACTCCGGCTCTTTGCTGACTAATTCCCCAAGAAAACCAGCACACCATTTGGAAGGTATTATTCACCCAGAACAGTTCCATGATAATTTGGCGGAGAATCATTGTTTTCAGAACCACAGAGCCCAGGAACCAACTACGACCAGCTACAAGAACCCATTGGAGGACATGTCCAATCGTGATCATCTGATGGAATAACAAGTAATCTGCATCTACCTCTGACCTCAACACTGGATTAAAGACAACCAACTCCTCCAAAGACACCAACAAAGGAAGAAAAAGTCTTCAAATATTGTAAGTACTACATTGTTGATTACTTGTCTTTCTTTAATTTAGTATGGTACATACTAATAGGAGTCATGGCAAATATGGAGTCTGGAATGGAAAGTAACTTTGAAAGTGAAATTCCAACAGTGTCTTTAGTTACGCCAAAAGTGTAATTCAGGCAAAATTTGGCACAACAACAACAAATTGTTTAGTAGACACAGGGGCATCCATTTGTTGTAATTTGTCTGCTTGTCTGAGCACAGCTTTTGAAAACCTTACTCTTGGAAACTCACCCTTTTCACAGGTAAAAGGTGTTGGCGGCGAATTGCATAAAGTGTTACGTTCAGTTGTGTTAGATTTTGTCATTGAGGACATTTTCTCAAAGATTCTATGTTCTGCCTAAACTACCAGAAGCAGTGATACTAGGTGAGAACTTCCTTAATGACAATGATGCAGTCTTAGATTATAGCTGTCATTCCTTGATACTTAACAACAGCACCTCAGATAGGCAATATATCAATTTCATAGCAAATTCAGTGAGATTAGTGGATTAGCAAAAACAATAGATCAGATTTACATCCCCCCTCAGAGTGAAATTCATTTCAAGGTTAGAGGATTCCCTCATCCTGATTGAACCCATTGCTTCCCTCACTGCTCATTCTGAAGTAGCAGGTGGTAGAACTCTTTCCAAAGTGAAAAGCAAAACTGCTATATTTAGGTTTATGAATCCCTCCCAAGCAGGCCACAAAGTTAACAAAAATTCAAAGGAGCCACTTGGCTCCTAATTTTTTTTTTCAAGGAGCCAAATAGAATTTCAAGGAGCCAAGACAAAATGTAAGGAGCCAAAAGTAATGACTTGTAATTTAACTGAGCTTCTGCATAACAAAAAAAAAATCCATTAGTTTGAATAATCAGTTTTATATCATGAACAACAACTGTTGACGTGTTGTTGAAGCTTTTGAGTTTTTCAGACAAACAAGCTTTAGAACATTGTGTCAGTAACATCATCTGACAGTTTACTGGTGCCAGTTGCAGGTTTTGGTTCATCGAACGTGTCGGGTTATAGCGAAAACGGCACCTCAGCAAAACGTCACCAGGCGAAAACGGCACCTCGACTCGAGCGAAAACGGCACCTTTTTATTTTTTTACCTTGGTCAAATGAATGATATTAAACTTACATTGTAACTTGCAAAGGCCAATAATTGTGAGATGTTAAAACAAGTTTACATTAGAAATTAGCCTCTGCTCCAACTATAATCCAACTTAGCTTATACGCACCTCAACTTATGGTGAAAACATAACATGCTTTGACGAAAGATATCAGAAATTAAACTCACATCGTCTCTTACATTTAAGAGGCCTAACATGGTGCTGTCAGATCACAATTATTCACAATGGCCTTTCGATGTGTTGCATGCGAGAAGAATGACAGAAAAAAAATCAACATGCTGTATCATGTGATAACTGTGAACAGTGGAACCAGACTTTCTATGGCCCGTTATAGAGAAATTTGCCGTACTGACTTCCCTTTCCGCTGTGTGAAATGCGTAGCTCCCGTCATTGAAGAGGTGATCGGTAACTTTCATGTCAGTTTCCAATCAGAAGATGCTGAAGAAATGAGAGTACCAAACCTATCGGAAATTCACATTACGGCTTCAGATGTACTCAATACATCAAATACCATGTAAATAAACCCTATATATTACTACACAAACCGGAAATACCATGTCAACAAATCCATACTGAAGTACGCAAATAAATCATGTAATTACACTGTCTGACTAAAAAGTGTTCTTTGTATATCTGGACTTATGTTAGTAACTTATTTCATTAATTTTATTCAAAATTACTTTCAATATTGTTTTAATTTATTTCGGCGAAATCGTGTGTGAAGCGATCGGAAGATCTAACTAACGGTTATTAAGAGAAACAACGGTCTGATTACCACTATTGATGCCTTGAAACGAACTTTAGTTGACAGAGAATGGATACATTTGTCATAAATGCCATACTTTGACTCGTTAAAAGTCATATTTGTTTTTGTTGGACGATTCTATGTCAACTCGTAATTCACGCGATCACGTGCACGGGAGCCTTGACGGTGACTGGTCAGTCTGTGTGTTCCATGTAAAACCATGTAATACCCGGTAATAGCAATCAGCTGCTTCGCTTAGGGTTATTATTATTTCAAATATGTTTAGTAAAAGCTGCATCTAAATTAACAAGATATTGGAATATATTATTCCTGATAAAAAGAAGAAGTTTCAGATACATTTTTTGCCGATCCTTGCATTAAAACCCTGTAAAGTTATATCATTGGGTGTGACTTGACTGAATCACCGGTAAATTCCAAGAAATTGTGTGTACAGCTGATTGCTGTGTCCGGCTTAGTTTACGAGAAGATACACATGGTAATCTTAATCCCTGGATATAAAACAATGCCTAGCAGAACACAAAAATACAATTTAGACGGTAAATCAACATGTCTGGTGATTTTTTATCTCAAATTTCGAATTTGTACTGACCAAGTTTCTCATCACCCGTTCGTTTGCCGGACTTCGCTTAAGGGGTAGATATATCTACAGTGTAAGTTTTTTTCTGCGCTTGGTAGATCTTTTCGATTTTTTTTCAGGGGTGGATATTTAAAAAAAACTTCACTTGCCATCGGACAAGCTTAAAGACAATTTTCACTTGCCCTGATTTTATTTTTACTTGCCCAAATAATTTCAAAATAAAACTTCAAATAATCAATGGATCTATGTGTTTATCTCTTTCAACACCGTAGGCCGGTTTCCGGCCAAGCCGTAGTCACGTCAAAATAGTATATATTTGTATGGACCTACCTATAATATCATTCATTTATTAAATCTATCACATTTCACAATGTCTGAAATACGTATTCCATATCAATTTATCATTTTTTTATCAATAAATCAAAAAATTATTCACTATTTCCCGCGATGTTATTGAAATATAATTCTCGGACACACATTTCAACAACGGGTCCACATCGAACATGTCAGAGAGCAAAATAAAGACGTTTTAAACAAATCTTTAATATATTATACAAAGTAATAAATAAATTCAACATCTAAAAGTAATCAAACTTACATCTAAGTTATTATTTCCATCTTTTCGTGCGATCACGTGTAATGTAAGTCAAATGACATCTCGGCTTTCGTCGCCTTAAATTCTCGGCTCGGACACGAT